ATGTGACGCCAAAATCATAGGAAAAACCAAGAATTCGGGCTTTTGTATTCTCTATTCTGTGGTATGGCCCTGTGACAAATTAACTGAAGTATATCGATAATTAACTGAAACATATGTCAAGGGGTTAGGTGTCAGTTGGGATGAGAGTCTTCCTTCTTTCCCCTGTCATGAATTGTCTAATCTGTCTTTATATTTGTCTTTAATTGTTAGTAACATATGATAAATATAACTCGGTATAATATAAAATTCATTATAGTATATTAGTAATAATAGTACGTATCTGTATAATATAGAATTCATTATATTATATTGCAGTGGGATTATTTTCTGTCCTTAAGACGTTTTTCCTACAACTGCGCACCTTTTTAAACGCCCCCAGTGGCACCTGCGCGAGAATGCGCTACTGAGTTCATTTAGTTGTTATAATTCATAGCGCTTCTGACGCCGTGAAATGTGCACTTTGCCCATGCTTGTTTTCGTGCTTTTTCATGCACTATTCTGGTCTGTAGAGGCCAGAGTTTCACAAAAGTATTTTTATAAAGTAGCTACTGGTAAGTTTAATTTCAATATTTCTTTTGTATATTTTATTGTTTATAAAACGTCAGATATACATGACATTTCAGATCTAAAATTTATAACCATGCTTATATACAAAATGTTAAACTATGTAACAACTTGTTTTCAAGTATAACAGTATTTGTAGTGAATGGTTTAAAATGATAAAAATATTAACTAAGTATATAACCATTAACGGCAAAAAGTTAAAGGCCGGTGGGGCGGTGGTCTTTTGCTGTGACAAGCTATTGACGTTGTATTTTTTGTTTCCAAAAGGTGGCGAGTTGTCCGAAACAGACGTCATTTCATCTCTCAACGTTGATTCACAATTGCAATGTTCACATGAATGCCTGACAGAACCTGGCTGTATTTCATTCAACTACAGATCTCAGACCACAGCTGACACAAGCCGGCAAGTGAATTGTCAGTTGAGTAATAAAACTCGAGATGAAATCATTACTGAGGATGGACAATGGATGTTTTATCAAGACCTACAAACTGTAAGTTTTGTCTTGACTTAATTAAGGTTTCTTTTTCATTTTAACGGCATGGCATGACATTACATGTTAATGAAGAATCTTAAACAACACATGAGACACAGAGACACTATAATACATTTCTAACTAACGTGCCTTTGAAATTATTTTTGTTAAAAATTACTGCAATTCCCCATCGTATACTACATTCCTTTTACCAAACCTTGAAACTTATCGACTCAATAAAAAGGTTGGTATTTTGCATTCATTCTCCCCCATTATATCACAAACATTACATTAAATAATAATAATAATAATAATAAACGATACGAATTTTCGCAATCAAGAAAAACAAGACCTGTAAAAAGGCTGTATATAAATAATTATAAATTATAAAGTGACTGAGACCCCGTTCACACGATACCGGCGTGGCATTCTGCCTGCAGAAAATCATCACGGTTTCAACTGTTCACACGACACCGGCAGATTATATTCCGCTTTGACAATATGCTGCACAAATCAGTTAAGATAGACAGAATAAAATATCCAACAACAACAGTTTTGTTAATTCATTTTGCATAACCGTAATGAATTCTTACGGTTGGGCGTTCACACGGCACTCTGACGGTAGAATTTCGTTCCGTTTTCAAACTCTTACGTTTAGCATATCGTTTTCAAACTCTTACGGTTAGCGTTACGGTTTCACATTTTTTCATACCGGCATCGTGTGAACGCAACCCCCAAACGTAAGAATTTCGTACCGTTTTCAAACAATGCCGGTATCGTGTGAACGGGGGTCTGAGATGATGAAAATTGACAAAAACTGATCCACAGACGTCTTTATGATGGGACTGCTGCAGGTGTTTTCAAAATTCTAGTCTTTCTTTTTAATCTACTGCCGAATAAATAATTGTTTTAATTAACTAGATTTTATTTAAACGGACAAAATACTGTATAAAATAATCTGACTAAATTTTATTTTAATACAATTTTTCACAGTAGGAATTCGACTTTCTTTATTACTTATTTATTGCTGCTGCGTTTGTACCGTTGACACACAGCTGGGAGGGTTGGAATAATCAAGTATCAAATAAATAGAGGTTATTACACGGTGCCAAGAAGACATGAATGTTATTTTCAAGTTGTGAAAAACTAAAAACAATATTTTACGAACGAGCGCAGCGAGTGAGTCCTGTCAAATATTATTTTTAACACCAGAAAATAATATTCATATCTTCGAGCGAATGAGTGTTTTTCCGGTAAAACACCCATGTCCATATAATAATAATATAATTTACATCACACGTTGACAGCTGCGTTCGAATGTCTGTGAGTGATATTATTAGGCCACATAAAAAAAATAGTTGGCTAGCGTCCCCGCCCGCCCACAAAAAAGGACCCGCTCAGGATTTTTTTTTATTTTTAGTTTAAAAAAAACAACTTTTATTGATCAACGGGCTCTAATATATGTAGTATTTCTGTTGACTGCAGTCAATTGTGTTAATAATTTGCGAAATTGCGTGCGAAAATGACGGTATAAATCATATTTTGAAATATATAATATGTATTTACGTCCCATTATACTATTATATATAATATGTATTTACGTCCCATTATATGTATTTACGTCCCAATATACGTCCCATCTCAATCCTGCCGACACTCAGCAAGATTATGGAAAAAGTTGTTCATTCTCAGTTTTACAAATTCCTCAACGCACAAGATCTACTCTCCAGTAAACAGTTCGGATTTCGTCCTAAGTATTCTACCACTACAGCTTTATCTAATTTTGCTGACGAGGTCTTACTAAACATGGAGCAGGGAAACCTCTGTGGCGCGGTGTTCTTGGACCTGGCTAAGGCTTTTGACACTGTGGACCACTGTATCTTGCTGTCTAAATTATCGGCAATTGGGGTTTCGCCCAGTTCTATCAAGTGGTTTGAATCCTATCTTAGTAATCGGAAACAGCGAACCTCCTGTGGCAATGAATTATCTGATGCCCTCCCAGTAACTGTCGGTGTGCCTCAAGGAAGCATCCTGGGTCCGCTGCTTTTCGTGGTTTATATAAACAACCTACCTGATGCTGTTATAAACTCGGAAGTAACGCTGTATGCTGATGACACGGTCTTGTACTACTTTTCCAAAGATCCACGGCTGCTTGAAGATAAGCTAAATGAGGATCTCCTAAGGGTCGCTCACTGGCTTCGTGAAAACAAGCTCACCCTGAACCTTGACAAGACTAAATCAATGATAATAGGCAGTAACAGGAAGCTCGGGAATGTCTCCTCGTTATCATTATCTATTTTTGATACTGATATTAATACTGTATCTAGCTTTAAATACTTGGGAGTAATGCTGTCTACAAATTTTACCTGGACTGATCACATTGAATATATCTCGTCTAAGATAAACAAGAACCTGGGTCTCTTACGCAGAATTAAGCATTTGTTGCCCCACCAAGCTCGCCTGCTTTTCTACAATAGTTTAGTCTTACCAATTTTTGACTATGTTGACTTGGTCTGGGGGGACAAGGACAATCTTGTTTTGATGGGTGAGCTCCAAGTACACAGAACAAGGCTGCGAAGATAATATTAGATAGACCTTTGTACTCATCGGCAACTGACGCGCTGTCAGCCCTGAAATGGCTCGATTTACGTCGACGCAGGAATTTCCATCGCTGCATTCATATCTGGAAGTGTGTTAATGGTCTTACGGAGCATTCTCTAGACATTATTAAATGTAGTCAGATTCACAGTCATAACACTCGAAATAAGGACACAATAAGGCTACCTAAAGTCAAACGCAATTGGGGGAAACAACGCATTAACTATCAAGCAATCAAAGACTGGAATGATTTAGACAGTGATACAAGGAATGCTCCAACACTAGTGTCCTTTAAGAGAAATCTTTTTTCTAAACTTTTAACCCAGAGCCTGCTTAGAACATCGTGACTTACAGTTTTAGACTTTTGACTTTTAACTAGTTTTAGATTTTTATAATTGCATGATTATTTGTATATATAATGTTCCCTATGTGTAGGACCTTTGTGAAAATCACGTCATATGTGACAAAGCTTTCCTCATTAAAGATTATTATATATATATATATAATATATAATAAAATCACTTACAGTAAATAACCTTACATTGGCTAGTTACCGTAAACGAAACTCTTAGATTTTAGGTAAAACACTTACTAGATTGAATGATAATACGAAGTCGAAAATAACGGACTAAATCAAGCTCTACTATGAATGTAAACTCAGCAAGTATTTGACTAGCAAAAATTACATACTGTGCAGTAGACAAATAAAGACCTATATAGAAAAAATACCAGAGGCAGAGCATAGCTATTGTCACAGCCATGGAAGAAACATACGCTCTGAATCTTGGCAAAATATTCAAAAATGACAGCAAGGAAATACAAACAAACAATAAAATGGGGGGGGGGGGAAGAATCATTACAGCTTCTACAAACCCCCATGCACACATAACCACTCAGCTAACTTAAGCATAAAGACATTTATGTAGACGAGTATCATGATTTTGACGAGTATCGTGATTTTGATCCTCATGCCCTCTTCAGTCGATAAGAAAAAAAGATTTAATTTTGCTTTTGTAAATAGCTCTATTAAGAGAGTTACGAAGAGTGAGAGGAATACTGTTCCAAATTGTAGGAGCTTGGGATAGTAAAGAAAAGTGATATCGAATAAATTGTTTATGTAAATCATACTTTGAACGAGTGCAATAATCATGAATTTCAAAATTGAAATGAAAGAGAGAAGAAAGTGATGTAGGTAGCAAGTTATTGATGTGAGAAAAAAAACAAAGCAAGAAATCTGAAACTTGAAGATAGAATGAAGAGGTAGAGAATGAAGTTTTAAGAAAAGAGGTTTTGAGTGTGAGTGAGGAGGTGAGAAAGTAATAATGCGAATCACTTTCTTTTGTAGTAGAAATAGAGGTTCTAAATGAGTATTAGAGTAGGCAGATCCCCAGATGTTACAATAACTAATATATGGTAACAAAGAGAATTATAGAGAGTTATTAAAGTATTAGATGATAAATATTGTCTAGATTTACATATAATGCCAATGGTCTTAGAGATTTTTGCACATACAGCAGTAATATGTGGCTGCCAGGAAAGATTTTCATGGATTATTACACCTAGGAATTTAACCTCGTACCCAGGATCTTTTTTTGGGAAAGACCTTGGCAGCGGCTGGTCACGTGCCTCGTCCAAAATTTAGCGCCAGAGGGGGTGTGGGGAAAGTATCAAATTACATCAACATCACACGCTTCCAGTGGGATATTTAATATGTTTAACAGTAGGATATTTAATATGTTTAACAGTGGGATATTTAATATATGTTTAATTAAACATAAATTTTGCGAATCAACGTTCAAACTTCAAAAATACTTGCTAAGTTTTGTTTATTTCCTTTGCTTTGAATTTACAAGAACATTCTTGCATTTTTACTAACAGACAAGTCAAGAAACCAAGCAAATCGTTACTTGCAGTGCTCTCTCGAGCTCGTGTTGTTACTCGCATTGCTCTATACTTTGACATATACCATGATCGTTGAGTTTCAGCAATGCCAAGGGCCAATTTTACAGTTTTTGACGGGCTTTATGTTTTTTGATAAGGCCTTTATATAAATCAACAATCTGGATACCGTTGGCGATATTTCGGAAATGAAAAGATATCACTATTTCGTTGCAATTCCACATCTCATCAATAAATAAATTATTTTGGTCCGAGTATAACAAATTATTATGGTCCGAGTAACAACCACATTGGTCGGATTCTGAGATATATTTTTCTTGTAGGCTTATTGCCGGGCCGCCAACGCGTGCTTTTCTTTGGCAAGTCTATATAAAGTTGAAAATTGAAATCTGGTCCAACTTGCTTGAATAATAACTCGACACTAGATTTATACAGAGTAGAAAGTCACATCATCATATAAATATTAATTTAAGAGATGTCTTCACGATTTTTTGTGGCAAATTAAAATTTCATCACTGAAAGTTGCAATTCTTACAACGCGACAAACACGCTCCTCTCCCACCCTACCCATAGTACAATAATATTTTAATTTAGCACTCAAAATGTGCAGGGAGCCACGTGACCAGCCGCTGCCAGGGTTTTTCCCAAAGAACGATCCTGCATGAGTACGAGGTTGCTAGGAATTTAGTACTATCAACTCTTGAAATAGGAGTATTGTCAATTTTGATTTGGAAATTCAGATATAATCTTTTTACGAACTGGATGAAAAAGGACACATTTGGTTTTATCTGGATGTAGAGTTAACTTATTACTAGCTCTAAACCATGAAGAAACGAAAGAAAGTTCTCTATTAACAATATCCATCAGACTATTTAGATCCTTATGTCAAAAAAAAATATTAGTGTCATCTGCAAAAAGAATACTGAAGGAGCTATAGAGGTATAATTGTGATGTATGAAATAAGTCATTGATATATATTAAGAAAAGTAAGGGTCCAAGATCAGAGCCTTGGGCAACCCACAATTAATCTCATTGCAAGAAGATGTATAATCAGCTATTTGAATTAACATATTGCTGTCTATCAGCCAAGTAGCTAGAAAGCCAGGTTAGTGGTATTCCACGTATACCGTAAAATTTTAGTTATCAATTAGTATTTTGTGATCTACTGTGCCAAACGCTTTCTTAAGATCGATAAAAATTCCAACTGTGTATTCATTATTTTCAAAGCCATGATAAGTACTATTAACAAGTTCAAGTACTGCCATATACGTATAGAATGATCGATATTGTCTAAAACCATACTGATGATGACTAAGAATATCAAATTTTATTATAAAATCATTAATAATTCATGAAGAAAATTCAAAAGAAATGTTTGATCAATGTTTGTTAAACGCATAAAGATTTGTCCTGATTTACATAAACTTCAGCTTTGATTTTCTCGGCTTAGACAATGTTTATTTTTAATGAACTAATAAGATGGGTCGTTTTATAAGCGCGATAAAACATTCGCATCCGATTTTATCTGATATACAAACTCTCGTCTTCGAGCTGGTCATTTTTATAAATAGGCAGAACTCTAGCTATTTTAAGTTTATCCGGAAAAAACCCACTTGAAAGAGATAAGTCGCAGATATATGATAAAGAAGCAGCGAGTATATCAATAGATATACTACTAGGAGTTGCTATCGCAAGGAATGTGCTGCCTTTTTTGCCACATGAACTGAATGCAAAACCACTCTAAAGGGGAGTTTACTTTTGACCCAATAAACTTATTCTTAAATTGCGTGCACGGAACATGAGTAAATAACCAACATGAAAAAGTTGCCATTGGGTCAAAAGTGGATAAACGGCATACCCATAAGCTGACAATGCACTCCACTTTAGTATTAACTCTGTCTAACGCCAGACAAATTTACACTCCGTAACGCCAGACGATTTTACTTGTCAGTTGTAGAGTACTGTCAGTATCTGCTAATGTCTCTTATTAACCCCCAATGGCTGGCAATGCGCCATACTTTAGTATTTACTGCCTATCCATTACCTGTAGGAAACAATTTTGTATTGGGGGAGCTGATCAGTCAGGGGCGATTATTAGGTAATTATATCTCTCTCAAACTTCACAGATTATCGCTAGTTTACAAGTTATTTATTTGGGGGAGGGGGGGGGGCGGGGCTGAAGACCCCAGACCCCCGGTTGCTACGGCTCTGCTATCAACGCCAGTCGCCAGACAATTTTACTCGTCAGTGCCAGTAAACGGCTTAATTTCTCGTCACCCCAATTTAAATTTTTACGATTTTTGTTGTTTCTAATTGTAGATATCTCAGCAAGTATTCGCCCCGCCTTTAAAACGAAAAGTACCATTGTAATTCTGACAAATTAGCCTTTTCAACGTACGGGGGGTCAGATGCCTTCAAAACATTACACAAACCAAAACAATCATGTATTTACGAATTTGCTCAGAGTCAATCAGGGACGTTGTGAGCCCCTAAATTAAAAACATTGCAAAAGATAAAAAATATAGATTTTAATTCTGAAAATCAAGATTTTTTAAGATATTACAATTTATATTTAAAAAATCTAAATTTACGAAAACATTACTGAAATGTTTCATGTTTGATCAGTGATACCCCCGCCCCAATCTTGATCCATCCCGTCACTGGGCCTGGGCCGCATCAGACGTCGCTCATTCGTCGTCCTTTTCAAGACCCCAGCACGTCGCTGGAGTCAATATGAGTAAAATACTCCTTGTATTAAAGCGCTTTCGTGTAGGAAGTTTCGTTTGAATAAAGCGAGTAAAAATATTTATTTTGAATTTTTCAAAATATAGGGTTTTTACTCGCACGCACGCGCGCGCCACGTGTATGCTTGGCCATATATAGCCTGATGCACGTGCAAACCATGCCACTGGGAGCACTTTGACCTGTAGAATCGATTTCCGGTTTTTCCAAACCCCTAGGATGTAAACAGCTGTTTTGATGTACGTTTCTATGGCGTCAGATTTCCGCCAATATTCATGTTGATATTAATTCAACATGTTTCCGTATTGAAGTGAATTTCGACATTGAACATATCAAATTCAACATGCCACTTTAATTCAACATTGCTTCAATTTCAACATGTTCAGGGGCGGATCCAGCCCCAAAACTGACCGTGGCTCCTAAATTAAACCACGCATAACTAGGGGGGTCCGGGGGCATGCCCAATTAGTTATCTAGATGATTTTGAAAATATTATTGGAAAGCTGGACTCAGAAAATCAAGAGATGTGTATATTAGGTGACATTAACATAGATCTTATGCATGAACCGATCTCGGCCAATGCTGTAAAACTGAATTCCATACTAGATATTTATGGTATGGATCAGCTAATAAACGAACCTACAAGAATTACTAATTGTTCTCAAACCTTGGTTGATCTATGTTTCACAAATGTACCATCAAAAATAATAAAATTCGGCGTTAACCACATATCTATTAGCGATCATTCACTTGTGTTTATGACTTATAAAACTAATATAGAACGTACCGGGACGCGCACAATAAAAACTCGTTGTTTAAAGAATTTCAATAGAGATAATTTTCTTAGAGACTTGGAACAAAAGCGGTGGTGTGATGTTAACACAAATACTGATCCTAATGATATGTGGGACACGTGGAAAAGTTTATTAATGGAGTGCATTGACAAGCACGCACCATCTCGCTCCAAAAGAGCAGGCAAAAAAAAATCGCCGTGGATAACAAGCCAATTGTTACGACATATGCATAAACGAGATTATCTGAAGCGGAAAGCAACATTGGCCGATGATCAAACTTTATGGGAAGAATATAGGGTTGCTCGAAATCGTACCAATAACGAAATTAGAAAAGCAAAGCAAGAGTATTTTATAACGCATTTGGAAACTGCTAAAACAAATCCAAGAAAAACATGGAAGTTAATTAACGAACTAAGCTCGCGTAATTGTAATAAGTCAAGTAACATTAACGAGATTAAAGTAGACGGAAAAACAATAAATACACCTGCAACTATAGCTGAAGCTTTTAACAATCACTTCTCAAATGTTGGTGAGAATCTAGCCTCAGAGATACCCATTTCTAACGTCAACCCTGAAGACTATTTAGAATCAACTGAGCAGAGATTTTCCATTAGACCTCCTACGGTTGATATGGTTTATATTCTGTTGAGTAAAATTAACGAACGAAAAGCTCCAGGTCTCGACAACATTCCTAATAAGCTGTTAAAAATAGCAGCTGCAATAATCTCACCATCATTAACTGATATATTTGCCAGATCAATTAACACTGGTATATTTCCATCCGAGTGGAAAATGGCTAGAGTAACACCAATATTTAAGAAAGGAAAAAGGAATGATCCGAATAACTATCGACCAATATCAGTTATTTCAGCTGTAGCCAAAATCTTCGAAAAATTAATCTTTGAGCAACTTTATAATTACTTCAGTTCTAACAGCTTGTTAACGCATTGCCAGTCCGGTTTCAGGTCGTTACATAGTACACTTACTGCTCTTCTTGAAGCCACTAGTAACTGGTCAGTTAATATTGACAATGCCTCTTCAATGGAGTAATATTTATCGACCTTAAAAAAGCATTCGATACTATTGATCATCAGATATTGCTGCGGAAGCTTCGAATTTACGGTATGGATCAATTAAGTCTCGAATGGTTTCAGTCTTATTTGACCGGTCGATCTCAGAAATGTAATGTTAGAGGTTGCTTGTCATCATCTGCATCAGTTACACGTGGTGTACCACAGGGAAGTAACTTAGGACCATTACTCTTCCTTGTGTATATTAACGACCTTCCTAATTGTCTCAGTGCAGCAGTACCGAGAATGTTTGCTGATGATACGAACATTAGTTATGCGGCCAACACTATCGCTGAACTAGAAAATGTTATTAATTCGGAATTAAAAAAATTGAAAAGCTGGTTGGAAGCGAACAAATTAAGCCTTAATATCGCCAAGACAGAATTTATGATAATAGGATCTCGACAACGTATGCATGCGCACACTAACGAAAATATCAATATTGACCTGGATGGTCATGTGATTAAACAAGTTGATGAGGCAAAATCACTAGGTGTAATTATTGATAAAAATCTGTCTTGGTCTAAACACATTGATATGAAGTGTAAAAAGATTTCTTCCGCTATAGGTGCTCTTAAGCGAATAAGACCATTTATATCAACTGAAACAGCAGTCCAAATTTACAACGCTATAATTCAACCTCACTTTGATTACTGTAGTCCCATTTGGGACGAATTTGGCGCAACATTATGTGAAAAATGCAAAAACTGCAGAATAGAGCTGCTAGAGTGATTACGAAATCCAACTACGATGTCAGCTCTAGCATTCTCTTAGAGAAACTGCATTGGGACAATCTTTCCTTACGTAGGAAAAAGCACAAGTCTATACTAATGTTTAAAACTATCAATAAGCTAACGCCAGAGTATTTACAAAACATGTTTACATTTCGCAGCACAGATTATAACTTAAGAAATGCAGAAATGAAGCTAAATTTACCAAAACCACGTACGGACTTTATGAAGCGTAGTTTCTGCTACAGTGGAGCAAGTTTATGGAGTGCGCTTCCTCAAACTGCACGTACGTCCAAATCATTGAGGCATTTCAAAAATGAAATTAATCAATTCTTGACATTATAATGGGATCCCCACACGGCAATCTTGGAAAACAGTGCATTTTAGTTAGGAAATTAGTGTGTATATAGTAATGTGTGAAATTTATTAATAGTTTTTGTATTTTATTCTACACTGAAGATTTTACCGTGTTTAAATAAATGTTCAATGTTCAATGTTCAATGTTCAATGCCCCCCCGGAAAATTTTTGAAATTTGAAGCCCGGAAACACCATTTCCTGCAATCTGAGCGGCGTATTTCCTCCTCAAATTTCGGTCTATGGACGGCGAAGCATGGCCATCATTTGTTTTTGGTGCCACCAAAAGTGATATTAAATATATCAACAGTTTGGGTAGGATAGTATGATTGAATTGTAAGCCAATTACCGTCGCTAAGGTAAACATCATCAACGTGAATTCGTAATTATGCGCATTATGCATTGCTTCTTCAGTAGGCTAACTGCTGCTGTATGATCATATTTTCAAAAACTGACATGGCAGTATCAGACAAGCACTTTGCAAAGGCAATTTTAAGCCAAGTGAACGCTCCATTCTGAACAGGTGTATCAGAAAAAAGTAAACAATTTCAAACGGCTCTCAATTTCAAACGGCTCTCAATTTCACCAATCCGTTCATGTCATTAAATATTTGATAAACATATATTGTTTGGTTTCTTATAATGTAGAATAAACAAGAAATTTTCGTAAAGATAAATTTTCCAAAGCAGGGGGGGTCTTTT